TTAGGAGGTCGAAGTTAAATAGGAAAGAAATGTTATGCAATTGTTCTTCATTTGACTGTTGTGAGTAATACTACTAAATCTCTTCTTACTTCTTCCATAGCTTCGTGAGATTGTTAAATTCTGTCTTCGGAGTATTTTCTATCATGTGTTGAGATTAGATATAAAATAGTTGGGAACCTAGGGGCAATACACTTCCGTTTCACACTGGTTTAGGTCTCTTCAACTGCTCATGTCTTCGTAAGGTGGTGCTCACCCTACCCTCCACTTCTCAATACTGACTTATTTCAAGATGAATCTGCCGAAGTTTTAATGATTATCGATGACGTATGTGGATCTGCCAACTCGGGTGTGATAACAAATACTCATTGATAGGATTAGGTGAAGTTTGTACTGTATCGCGAGTTGACAGAAGTAAGACAATGTGAACCATTGAACCTCAACAAAATGACTGAATGGGAACGTGGTCGCCGTGAGCTCTTTGTCTTACGGTGTCATGAGTTTGCACTGTTAAGGAATCACAAACTAAGACGAATGAGCTGTGTTCTTATTTCCTCTGACTGATAGAAACCACTTTGAAATCAAGTATTCTTCATGAAATCGCTAAATAAATTCGATCGTGTTTTGTTAGATAATTCACTTAGCAACGAAAAGTCTGTTTTGTAAGCAGAAAAACGTTTATTAGGCTGGAACTTGCACACCTCTGTATGTAGTGGTTTGCATACTTCAATGAACTGCTGTTTATTCAAGGTTTCAGTTAGTCAATTCATCATTATCTCGTTATCTTTTCCTGTATATTTTTCTCACCGGTTTAACAAAATATGTTTGTTCCATTGCAACTGTATCAAAACTATTCGATTTTCGTATGCTTTATGCATTCATACTTTGTGTTCACATGATATGCACATAGGGCTATGATTCACCAGATTAGTCACTTCACATTGAATCAGTGTGTCAAACTTTCTAATGTCCTGCCATTTCCCAAGGTTCTGGTAAGCAGGTAATATCCATGGCTATTTCTTACGTATTCATAGCTGAATTTCTGGTCGAATAGATTTTACGTTTCTACCAAGTTGCATGACATTCAAAATTTTTCATTACTCTGCTACTTTTTCTCGTTTTATCTATGGGATGTTCCTCTGCTTCCCGATTTTGTTCCATACTACTTGGTATTTTTGAGTAGTATAGTCCACGTTCCCGTATAATATGACTCTGCCAGCACTCTAAACCGTCCATTGTACCATTGTATGTTGCCCACCACTAAATGTCCCCAGATATCAGTATATTTCATCGGTGATGATGGTTTTGAAATTTCTTTCTTTGTTCCCTGATATTCCATTTTACCTCGAACATTTGTTTATCTTACGTCTTCACCTCACTGTGAGAACTAATGCTCATCTTTTCCCTTCTGCTGGCTTGGATACAGCTTTGCTTTTTTTACTGCTCACGTACTCTTTGCAAGTGATTTGAAAGCGATAACCTTGCAGATACCTCAAGATTCGACATTTGCATTTCACTACTCGATATTGTTTATTAATACAGAACCGTATTTCATGTAAATCGTGTGTTTTGGATTTTACGCGTAACTCGAACGTTTGGTTTATTGTTGAGAAGTTGCTCTTTCGCTTTGGTTCCGAATTTCTTGGAACGAAATTCACAAAAAGACTTACATCAGCTGGTATAAGGAAAAATCAGACGATATGAAAACATATATCAGTTACTCACTATCAAAATGGCACCTAATATTTCTTTATAACTGTTCAATTTACCAGGCCTCACTGAGGACAAGAGATGAAAGACCATGAAACCGGAGATACTATCAAGTCACAGATAGCCCCATAAAATAAAAAGGGAGGAATTACAACGAAAACAATATATGGCGTGGCGAATAAGGTGAAAATAAGGTGAGATTGCATCCGTTTTTCTCAAATCGATTTCGAATCACATCACTTAGAGTGTATAGTCATCGGTTTCGATTGTCATGAAAACCATACCAGGTTCTTTGCGTGGATCAGACCAACAATCTGGCCACTCTTCGCTTTTTCTCAAATTAACCCTGCTTCAGCAAACAGAGCAATGGACCCGACAGTGAGCCTACATATGCAACGCATGTCCCAGACACTTCGATTGAAGGTTCATAAGATGGCTAACTAATTTAACTTTTATCTGACACTAGAAGCCTAACTTCCACGTATTTCACAAGGTGGTTCGGAAGATAACTTGATGTACTGGCCTGAAACGATATCAGACAAGGTTGCAATTTGCTTGTAATACAAAAGTGTCAGAGACTCTTAAAATGCATCCTCTGGCAGTAATAATTTACGTCCTGATCGTTATGTCAACTCTTAACTATCATCCTTCCATATCCATAATACTGTTAAATTATTTCATATGAAGCAGATTTGCTGTGTATATTTCAGTATGCATAATACAGCGTTTTCATATGATTGTAAAGAAAGCTAAAGGCTACTTCTCTAAGTTAAAAGGAAAGAAAACTGCATAGCCATGAGAAAATCATAAAAGATCCATACTGTTCAACGCAGATATTGATGTCCTCAAGGATTCTGCGTAAATCTGTGGCGAATTTAATTGCATGCTTGAAAAGATCTATAACGGAAAGCACATTAGATACAGATATCATGAAAATATGTCTGAGATTTTCAAGGTCATTATCTCCAAAGTAGCATATGAATTGGAGTATGCATACGATCTTGTCCTCCTAGGCGAAGTTGCTGACAAAATGCGGTCTTCTGAGAGGGTTGGGCAGAAATCTCACTATGCTTGGGATGTGTATAGCACCCATCAAATGTAAGATTATGGCTCCAGAACTGGTCTACAAGCACTCCCAGTTTAATGATAGGGAGAATTTGTCGACCACATCACTTACTGAGGGAGTTTGCATCAGCCCAAACTAGTTAGCTGCTGACAAAATATCGCCTCGGATATAAAAAGCCCGTTTTGCATTTGCCAACATGCGTCATCTGTGGCGCCAAATGGCGAGATATCTAACTACCTATCAACGGACGAGTATCCGGCTCTGCAGTCAGTTCTGCTCTCCTATACGGTTGTGAGACAGAACCGTTAAAAGTAGAAGACACCAAGCGATTACAGGGTTTTGATCACAGATGTCTTCGTAGCATTATTTACGTATGGCGGAATCACCGTGAGAGAAATGTTGAGGTCAAGCGAAGGGTACTAGGTAAAATAGGCAAGTTAGTCAGTGAGGTCTCGAACCCTGATAGACTGAGATGGCATGAAAATGTATTGTTTATTCTCTCAAACAACTTTATCTACTTTGATATCACTCTTTTTCAATCCACCTTTCCTTTGTTTGCTACCTTAAAGAGTGGCAACTTGAACCGACCCACCTGTGTGCCAGGTTCCACGTTGATCTCGTTAGTCATACCCAAAGTACACAGTAAAAGAAGTTTACTTCTAAAAAGACAAAATATCAAACATTTACTGACCAGTAACTAAAACTATTACACATATGCAGTAAAAGTTAAGTTTACAACAATTAGTGCCTTCATCGACCGATCATCTTGATCTGTGCACAGTTTTGTCAATTTTCCCCAGTCTTCTTGAATGAAAGAGATGCACTATTTATGCAGTAACGTAAACCAGTCGGTTTCGGTCCATCTTCAAACACATGACCTAGATGAGCGTCACACTAAAAATATAGAAAATAAATGAGAAGAGATATATACACATATATATTAAACAGCGAAGATAGCACTTCCTTCAGGTGAACGTAGAGAAGATAGAGGTGATGAGGATGCCCAACCAACAACAACAAGCACCAATCACCATCAACGGGAGAAATCTAAAGGAAGTTGTCTCTTTCACCTACACCTACCTATCTAGGCAGCATCGTCTCAACTACAGGCAACCAGCGGCACAGGCACAGATGAGGATGTCAAAGCCAGGATCGGAAAGACAGCAAGATAGGTCCTCATTAATCTGAAATCAGTGTGATCTACTCCACTCCACTCAACATAAAGAACAACATCCAAATTTTCAACACTCATATCAGTCAAGTCAGTGCTTCTATGTGATGGTTGAGAGACTTGACGCGTTACGAAAAGCATTTCCAACAAACTACAGATATACATCAACAGCTGCCGCTTACGCTCTCACTCCATACTGAAGATCAGATAGGTGACCAGGAATAGTAAGTAACAAGGAACTCTCGCCGGCTGGCAGCGAACAAACCAAGAACTCATCACCCAACAAATATGCAGAAGAAAGTGGAGATGGATTGGGCATACACTGAGAAGACCGATTGGGGATATCACTCGCCAAGCCAGGCCCTCGAGTGGAACTCATATGGGAAACGACGATTTGGGTGTCCAAAGGTAACACGGAGGAGATGGTGTTAGGAGGAAATGAGATCTTATGGGCAGTAGTGGAGCCAGGTTGAAAAGACTACAGACAGCAGAGTGAAATGGCGACTTGCTACTGAAGCCCTTGTTCCAGTAGAAACCCAAGGGACAAATAATAATTATTATCATCATTATAGTAAACAAGGGAAAATTGTATTGGAATGTATTGTAATCCAAATATCCACAGTAGAAAACACTGACGGCAAAATGTTGATGATACAAATTCAAATTTACAGTCCCTTTTTTTCTGAAACCACGCACAGCACAAGCAAAAAGAAGTTTCTGAACTCGATGATACAGATAAACTTTAGGTCAAATATATTCCAGCTACTAAGAAATCAAATAACGTCAGCGTAAAAAGGTTTTTTCAGTTAGTTCCTCGTCGATGCCTTTAAACTAATATATAGCATTCCCAAAATATAAAATTGTATGTATATATTTAAAACATGGTCAGTCCCCAGGATGACTATAACATTAAAAATACCCAGCAGTATCGAGGCGTTCACATAGGAACCCATCTAGCAACAAAGATCGAGTGATTCGACTCTGTATAGCAACCGGAAATTACAAGCATCAATAAGCAATAAACGCCAAGCTACAAATTATTATTATTATATTGAAGAAAATTACTCGAAATTTAAACTATGCGATTCATATATAGACCATATTTGACAAGGAAGATAATATATCAAGCTACTGTAAAATTTATAGGACAACCCATACTGACAAACTGAATTCTATAGTTAAGCAAGATATCAAGTTTATAGTTTTGCTTTCAAGAGATAGTTAAATCGTATATCAAAAGGTCAACATAGGTGTAAAACTTGGGCACTGTGGTAGAATTTAATTCCAACAAACTTAGTGCAAGAAAAATATCCCTCGGAAAATAATCAAATTACAAAGGACACATAATCAAACATCGATAAAACAAAGTGGGTAGTCAATCTCTCCTTGAGAACCCTAGGCTCAGCTGAGACAAAATTACTCGAAGAATGACTAAACTTCAAGGTGACAACAGATCATCTAAAACCTGAAAATTTCATACCCAGCGCAGAGGTAGCATTAAGCTCGGTGGATGCAGCAGCAGTTGAACAGGTCAGAGTACAGTGTACGCTAACACTGAAAAGACAAAAGAAGAGACGACGAAACTTAACAAAACTTAAAAATTCGGCTCTGAATAATCTAAAAAATGATAATAACATAGTAATTGTGAAGTCTGATAAAGGCAATTCAACTGAAGTTATGGACAAATTGGATCACTTTAACAAAATTGACGAACATATCCAAACAGGACCATATGAAGAGATCAAGAAACCTTTAAACACGGTCATGAATAAAATTAACAAATCTACAACCGATTTGATGCGCCGACTTAAGCTATCTCTGGGCGAGGCTAAATGGTTTAATTTAATGCCTAAAACTAGCAATCCTAGCAGAATTTAAGGCACTATTAAGGTTCACAGACCAAGTGATCCTATCAGACCTATAGTTGATTTCATGAATAACCCAACATATGAAGTAGCAAAGTACTTAGGATCAACAGTATGTCCTGTGAGAAACCGTTCAAATTTCACACTAGTAACCTCTTAGGAGTTAAAACTAAGGCTTAATGACCTGCATATAGAAGAGGATGAAAAACGGTTAGTTTCGACATAACAAGTCTTTGTACTAAAATACCAATCACTGGCACTGGAGGCAGTCAGAAATCAACTAAATATGGACTTAGAACTTACTCATAGAACTAAGATATCGGTTGATGAGATCATATTAAGTGTACGGTTGTGCCTGACCTCCATAGTCTTCAAGTTTCAAGACAAAATATACAGACAAACAAAATGAGTAGCAATGGAATCGCCAACATCCCCAATCGGAGCAGACATATTTATTCATAGTTGGGAACACATGGATGCTTTACGAAACTTTAATCCCGCACCTAAGATATGGTGGCGATATGTGGATGACACACTTACTGCATTCAAATCGGAACATATCGACAATTTCCTCACACATATAAAATCAGTAGTAGGCGCAATCCAATCCACTAACCAGGTAGAAAGTGAACAAGGAGAATTGCCTACATTGGATTGCAGGATAAAAACAAGGGACAGATGGTGGTTCGGATACCACTGTCTACAGAAAACCGACACATTCTAACATGTTTCTAGACTTCAAGTCATCTCATCCAATGTCAGTCAGTGAAGGCAGCTTCAGTCGAATGTCTGAATGACAGAGCTAGAAAACTGACTAGTCAGTGCAAAGACCTAAACAAGGAACTGAAGCACACAAAAGAAGCGATAATAGTTAGTAATCATCCTCTGCAGTTTGTCAAGAACACAAACACGAACACACAAGAAACCAAATAATAACAGTAACAACATGAGTACGAATAATAATGACAACACGACTGGAAGAGAGTTCACAGCCTCCATTGTGTTACACTATAAGGAAGGTACATCTGAAACTTTAAGTAGGATCCTCAACATCTAATCAACACTCAACACATGTAATAGAAATAACAACACCGATACCACAGAAATGGAGAATTTTACTGCCAGCAAAAATAAATAAAATGAGGTGACAAGACTCTAAAAAGCAAACATCGAAATTAGTGTGGTTGCATTGATATGATTATGAGCAGTAATAATTTATGCTCGAAAACGGATCAAGTAAATAATACTGTATCACTGTGTTATAAATCAAATAAATTTAATGTGGTATCAATAAATCTACTGGATAAAAAGTACTAAACGTTGAAAAGAAAACACATTCACCACTAACACATACTTGTTTACAAGTTACTTCTATTCGCTTTGTATCAAGTGAATTATCTTCTGTGCGATTAATATTTGTTTGTGAATCATCCCGTCCATTGGATCCATAAGCTTGATAAAAAGATGGCCAGCCACAACCACTGTCAAACTTTGCAGATGACCTGCAGGAAAAATGAACAATATTCATTTCATCAACTTTTACTTTTCACCAAACTTTATGTCCTGTGATTTTCATTACCATACTGAAAGATCAAATGATAACTATTCAAACCATTACAGACTGTACCCAATATAAGTCCTGTGTGTAGACAACAATGTGCACAGAAAGCATCACATTAAAAAGATGCCTACCATCGAACAGAAAAATAAATTAGCGCAGAACCTCGTACAGCAGTTCATCGATTAGAGCTGTTAAAATTCGCAGTAGTAAGCACAACGAAGTTGGTAGAAAAAGACTGACATTACAGGAGACCAAGTGCATGGGAAGAAATCAACAGCACCAAGACTGTTGCGTCTTCTGCTCGCCAATGAAAGAACTAAGGCTGCTTTCAGCAACAAACTGGTTAGATACTGGTTTTAGGAACAGAACATCATTAATCACTTTGTTGAGAACGTTGAACTCGAAAACCTGTGGGCACGTTAGAGGCTATAATGAGTTTTGTACGTCGAGTAAAATTTGTCAAGTATGTCCACTTTATCTACTCTGACCCAACTGTATTATAGAAGTACTTATTGAAGTCTTCGTCTCGCCATCTGACATCACATAGATTGATCTTATCAGAGGAGAATCTTTGATAGATCCAGAATACGCAGTTGACATAGTTCCGTTAGGTGAGGACGCTGACAGGATGAAGAGTCATCGGACACACTTGAGAATGTTTAAGGCATGTTTCTTGTCACCAAAACGTAATTTTTTTGCCAGGATAGGCCTTAAGTGGTGCCCTGTCTAACAATAGGGAGTGAAACGGTCCACTGCGTTCACCACACCACTTACCTTGGAAGTCGGATCAATCATCGTGGATCAATGACCAATGAAATCTCTGTACGGATACATAAGACTTGATTGACATTTGTCAACTTACATCATTTGGGGTACTGTCGCGGTATTAAGGGTCGACTAATGCCGTCTTCGTAGGTCATGTGGCTTGATGTTGCCACGCCAGTAATGTAGAAATCAGGTGTAAAGTGTGAGAGAGGAGGGAAAAGTCAGTCGATGAAGTTGTGAACCTTCACCAACTCGGGTGGCTGGGACATATGATACGCATGCCTACTCACCCTCTGCTTCATCATACAATATTACCTGGAGTAGGTTAGGCTAGAAAAAGGTTAGACGTGACCAGAATACAACATGACATCAGTACATGACATCTCTAAATGTTGGTCTGAGCAATGTACGGAACTGTGGACTTCTCGGCTGGAGTCTGCAAGACAACGAAAACCAGTGGTTGGAGACTAGGTGACATGTTTCACAATCAATCTCAGAGGTGAAGATGTATCCACACATTATCCTCATCTTAAGTGTCACACTGGACTCAGTATTTCTTTCATGTCCCTTTCTCCCACTTTACTACTTTCTGTTACTTTGATTGGTTTATTCCTCATTTCTCTTTATCTTTCATCTTATTGCTTTGCTGCTTGATGTGCTGATATGAAATGTGGCAACCTGGATTGATATGCAGTAATGCCTAGTTGACGACAGCATCCCAGTTACATTGCATTTATTCCTGTTTTCACGCTGTCTGGCATGAACGGATAAGCAGTGTTTGGTAAATTTGCCAACAGGCATACCAACAGCTTCAATAATGTATTTCAACACCACTGGAGATCGCCTACAGATGATAAGTAGTCCTTGACCTATTCTGTAAATGATATTACCTAGGTTAATTGAAATATACAACAGTAATCAGTTGTGATGGTTTCTGTCAGATGGATAATTTAGTTGTGAAACAACATCCTCAGCAATACCTTCAATATGAAGTGAGCTGTCAGGATTCCTCCGTGAGTGATTCAGAAGCTTGCCCTGACCAAGTGGTGTGTGCTGGTAGTTCCCTTTAATTGTTGTATCATTAACTGCACAGATTTTCGTACTCACCGTTTTCCTGTCTGACCTCTGATCTCGTAGTTGTTTATCATTTTTCTTAGTGATTGATAGATTGGTCAATTTCTATAAATCTATTGTTGACTGATCTGAATGCTAAGCTGCTAGGAATTCTCCAGAATTCTTTGTTTCCAAGATCTCTACATTTCCAAAATTGAATTATTGTCAATAGTTGACCACATATATTGATATGGACAACGAAACGTCATGACGTTTAATGGCTAACCAATGTTCATGTAAACGAAGTCAAAAAAGGCGATTACTTTGTTCAGTGTAGTGCTGATGGCAGTTGTTGCTGATGAAATGTAAAGGATATCTAGTCTTTCTTCTCTAGACGCTCCGTCCTTTGATCTGAACAATATGTTTTGAAGGGAATTTTTTGGTTTATGAACCACGAATTCCAAATGGTTTTATTAGTCTTGTCGCGGTCTTTGGTGTACTCCTTATGTATGGTAGGATGATCCGTTTGGTGATTTCCATAGATGACATGTAGTTAATGATGAATTGGACAGACATCTTCTGATCAAGTTTGGTGGGTGACTTGAAAACAGATACTAAGTTTCGTGCTTTCCGAAACCTTTTTTCACCAATGAGGAGGAGAGATATAGTAGCCTTACCCAGATGTGGTTCAACTGATGTGTATAATGCTGTAATATTAGGGGACACGATTAATTTGTCTCAAAGAGCAACACAAAACAAGGTTACATCCAAGAAGACCCTGTAGTCCTTTACTTAGAGAGTTTAAAAAGCTGATTCAACATAATTTGCTGCTCACCTGGTTAAAAACCAACATGAATATACAGATTCTACTTAATAATTTTACCAAGAAAAAACTTACTCAAACAGTTTTGAACCACAGCACACACAAAGATATTCACCAGTTTCTTTATTGTGGTAGTATTCACCAGAGAAAGGCTATATAATTCAGTCAGTGTGAACTTCATAATTACTGCTTCAGTGCCTTTAAGTCGAGCTACTCGATACTGCTCAGGACTTAGTACACTTTTCCAGTCTTCGTCTGACTTCTTCGTAGACATTCTTAAACATAAACTCCGGCTAAGACTGGGGATTTTACTGGCTGATGAAAAACAAGTTTTTTTTCTGCTTACTTGAATATGCGCATAAAAAAGTGAAATGAAGTCACATCCAACCATCTAAGTGTACGTTGTAATTGAAACTCCTGGAAAGGAAAAGTGGACGCATACTTCTCAAATAAAAACCAAAACAAACCTAAAGACCAAGTGGACAACTACTAGTTAAAGTGAAGCTGATATCTTTTATGTGACGGTAACAGTTGTGTTCAGTTGTCTAAACCTGATAGGCTTCAAAGATTTAACCACAATTTGATTACTCTGAGTGGAAGCCATTTACATGACTATGCTAAACGGTTATCGATGAAAGTAAAAGCAGTTATAAGTGTCAACATAAGTAGTGCAGAAATATGCAGATTTCAAAGATGACGAACCCATCACAGTTCAGATTTCGAATAAACTAACTACTATGTGTTCCTAAATCTGAGTTGCGGAAATAGCCGTTACGACGTTAAACAAGTCAATATACACATTACCCATAAGTGCAGACTGGTTAGCAGGTGGTGATAACTATTGTAAGGTGTGGGTATCTAGACTAAGATTTTCTAGCATTCACAATTGTTTACGGATTTTCAAGGATGATTTGTTTCCCTAAACTCTGAGAGGATGAATAACCAAGACCTGTGGGATAACAACACACCTAATCACTGGACTTCTCAGCTACCTCCGCTTACCTATTTTAGTTGTTCAACCGCATGCCATAAAATTAATATTGCTGAAAAACATATAAGCCATCAGTACAGAAATAATCACTACTTCAGCCCCACGGAGCTATTTATTTTAAAACGTAGCCACCTCCTTAAGTATTATAAGATCACGACGATATATATATTCTCTAGAATTCGAACGGATTTTATCAAGAATTTAGCTATTTTGTTGTGGCAATATGAATGGCAACAATCGACAAGCAGGAACTGAGATTGACAGATTGCTGGTCATACTAACCACAAAGTGTTCCACACCACAGTACATGTTTGCACCTATCAAGGTAAGCACAAAACTACCTCAGTACCTTGATTTAACGAAAGCTTGACATGGGTATGCTGCACTTCAAGTATCTAGGTGTAGACTGCTGGATAATAAGAGATAACTCTGCTCTGATTCTGTATCGATGAGTAGATGCAGCTGCTTTCACCCACAGTAACCTGCGTTGCTTCAAAATTCCTTCCTCCTTGTTTCTACATTCCCCGAGACATAACAGCTACATTTACACACAATATCTGCAATTACAGCACTATTATCCCATTACTATGTAGTTCAGCCTTATCAACTTTTCACTTCTATAAACTGCATAATGCTTTCTTAGATTATGCAATAATCGGAAGTGGTTTCTGCAATTACAAACAATACACATGCAGTAGTTCAACGGCTTATGTATTTCAGTTGCAGAAGATAACCTAACCATGCATCAATTAACGGTAAATTCATCGCTGGCAGAAATGTTACCCATGCTGACCATACATTTCCCCTTCAACTGCATTTAAGTGTGAAGAATCTGCGATGTTCGCTTCATCTTGTACGAAAATATGACGGCTCATTACACTGGTCTCACTGAGGTAAGCATAGCATTAAGTAGTACAGTGGAAAGCATACCTCTCGCCTAAAAACTACTTAATAGTCATTATTGTACTGTCAGACTTAGTAGATCCATAAGAACTAGGAACGCTCTTGATACTTGCGATGCATATTCCTTATATCTGCTCACACCTATACTGACTACAGTTTGAATGAGAAAAAGTATAAGATGTATAAAAAAAACTGACAGTTTCGCCAAATAAAGCAAAACGAACCGACAACATCAAACGTCCACTGGTTTCTTCTGATCATTACTTTCTTCTAGCCAGCATAACTTCAAGCATTATAAGAAAGACAGTACTTCAATTGGCATCCATCGACATCAAAACAAAGATCAGTACAGATAGACCATATAGCCACAAGCTGTCGATCAAAAGGTTCAGTTGGCAATTAACACTCTTTCTGGACTATTTACATGGACTTCGACAATACGTTTTATGGACACGTATAGGTCTGCACGGTACCGATGGAAGAAAACCGGCTTTGAGCATAGGTGTTTACGTAGTATATCTTGCTTCCAGCGAAATCACCATGCGAATATGTTGAGGTCAGGCGAATGGTACTACACAAGGTAGGATGGCAAGTCGATTGATGAAGTTGCCAATCTCAAGTCAACTGAGATGGCTTGGACATGAACTCACCACCTACCTCGATGTGCAGCGTTAGGGAAAGTTTGATCAGGTCGAAAAAGCCAAAAGCCAATAGACTTTTACAGCCTTATTCGGATCGAGGGATGCAAGACACGTTCCATCTAGCACTGACCATAATGGGGAGCGAACGCAACTCAAAAGTAGAGTGACTAAAATCCTTTGTAATGATCACAAGCAGTGAAGGGCGGAGAGGGAGAAACACAAGGGCTGGGACAACAGCACTACGTAATACTCGTCAACTACTTAGGCCTACTAAGGACTGTGCCGAGATGATGGCCAGTGAAACCATCATTAATTCCGTTTTATTAGAACTGTCACACAATGAAACAGTATTATTCACTGGCTAATGATTTGCATACAATTTACTGTCCATGTTCATATCAGGTAACTCCACAACTCTGAGACAAGATTTATGCAGTTCTAACCCTCTTCTTCCTTGCGATAAGGATAGTAGTATTTTTCATGAATCTGGGACAGGTGCGGAATCGTTTCTACTGCATGTATTCGGTGTCTCGAAGACATCACAAAGTTTTAGGGTTGCCCGATACAAATATGAAAAATAAATTATGTTCGAAACGTTATCCAGTAATCAACACCAAATACACATAATAGAAGTGATTCTGCACCTGTCCCAGATACATGGAAAATACTACTACCCTTATCGCAAAGAAGAAGGGGATTAGAACTATATAAACTATGTCTCAAAGTTTTGTAGTTACCTGATGTGAATATGAACAAAAAATCATGTCTCCAATGTAAGCCAATAAATAACAGTTTCCCTGTGTGGCAATTCTAGTAAGCAGACTAAACTAGAAATACAATCCACCACAGTGCCCAACTTTCACTCCTATATTAATGAAATTACCACTAAAATGGGTGGGTCTCTTATAATCTCTTAGAAGAGATGGCTAAAAAACTGAACAGTCCAACCGACTGACAACCACACGTCAGCCACTCCCCATTCACTTTAAATCTGAATGGGATGCTGATATAGGTCATTCAACTCTGACAAAAGTTAAGAAGGCTGCTTCAAACCAGAAACGATGCAAACGAGCAGGACCTGACAGTCGGCCACCAGATCCACAAGAAGGAAATTATTGAGAGTAATCATGGACGTACCAGGTACAGCATGGGGATCACGGGTAGTGTCGTAACACTTGTCCATGTCACTAATTATTCCAGATAGGATAGAAATCTTCTAATGACACAGACAAAACCAATGTAGAACCTCGTACACAAGAGCATCACACTTCACGGCAGCATGCAAAGAGCAAGTGGATAGAAGTAGACCGACATTAAAGTAGAGGTGTATAGGGTGAGAGGAAATTTAAAAAGTGGGTTTAGTCAAAGTACTCAAGCTTTAGAATATATCAAAAGGTGAGTACATCTGTGACATTGTGACCAATTTTCAACCATTTCGCCAGTTCTCAACCACTGGTTCCTACCCACAAGCGGACCCAGATCAGGTAGGCTACACCTCTGTACAAGACTCAGACCAACGGTCAGACACTTCACGGAATCGTGCCACATTTCAATCTGACTATCCCGAACCCTCTCTCAACCTGATCCAAATTCCCCCAGCATTGAACGTCAGGATAGGCGGCAGCTCGGTATGTGCATCACATGTCCAAGCTACTTAAGTCACTGGAAGTTCACAACGTCGTCGACCAACCCTGCTTGTCCTGCCCAACAATCTCCGCTGGATCTCTACATTGCTCATATGGCGATTCCACTGTAGTGCGCCTTTCTGGCACCAAAATATAACTAGGGCTAAAATAAATAGATTAAATTAAATTAACTAAATAGACCTCTGGCTCGCCTCGTGATGCTCAAGGTGTTTTAAGTTTTGTTTTAACGAGCATGCATCTGAGCAGGCTTCGACGCCACTTTGCGCTCCTTTTGTGCTTGATAGTCCCTAGCTCAGCTATACTAGCCAGACAAGTTGAATAAACCTTTCCCCTATTCATTACTATTACATTTATTCTGATCAAATATATTACTTCTTCGAATATATTCATGAAACCAGTTCTTTTAATTTGCGTTTCGTTATCAGTACTTACACGTTTGGTAAGGTACTGGTTAAGCAGGTACTAGAGCACATCAAGTTAAGTAGGGTTGGTCAAACGTTACGTAACAGTAATACAACTAAAACTCCCTACACCACCATACGCAAGTCATACCACAAATACGCTTGTGATTGAAAACTTTTAATCACTTAATATCTTTTACTTTTAACAACCACGTCAACTGTATAACGACAGAACGAACTGCGACGCAATACACCCATCCATTAATAGATATTCGGCAATCTCGCCGGTACCACATGACGCAAGTTGGTAAATGCTAGACAGACCTTCTGTACCCCACCTGAGACCCCATCAGCAACCAGCCTATCTGAGCTGACACAATTCCATAAATAAGTGAAGTGGTCGACGACTTCCACCGCCTTACTCCCTATCCCTGAAATACGAGTAGTTGCAGACCAGTCCTGGAGCATCATCTTACATATGACTCCTGTGGTGACCGCGGAGAAATCAGTCTAACCGACATCATCTACAGGGTTCTAGTTATCCAACGAGTAAGTGAAGCTTAAAAACATAAACTCTAGGAAACCAGGTAGGCTCCAGACCTGAACTAGGGTGCATCTATCAAGCCTTCATTTTTCATCAGGTTATAGAATACAGGGCACTCGACTTCCTTGGGTAGTTACACTAGCCTGAACGGGTCCGTTGTCGACAAAATCTCAGCTCGTATACATAGGCCCGTTCAGTATTTGCCAAACGGCATCATCGCTGGCGCCAGTGAGATACGAGTACCCACTGTACTGAAGTTCGTTTCGCCGTCATGAGGCTGAGACATGGGTGTTAAAAGTAAAAGATATGAAGAGACCACAGACTTTTTGCAGCATTGTTCATGTATGTTAGAATCACCATGTTAGCAATATGGAGATTAAGCGAAGGATGTCAGACAAAACAGACAAGCCGGTTGACAAAGTTGTGAATCTTCAGCAACTGAAGTGACGCGAACGAAGTCATGCATAATAGCCCACATGACAGACGTAAGACACAGTAGAACCAAGATAAACAGTTTGCATGAGCTAAAGTGGCGCTCACGCATGCATTACATTGATAATCCGCTTCGGTTTCCTTTATGTTTGTTTACAGGCACTGTGTCGGCGCATACAGCTCTGAAGACTGTCTTAAATCTGGAAGCATAGTCCTACACGTTGTTTTTCTCGAATACATGCTTCCACAATCTGATACAGGCCTTGTAAATAACTCTCTTGCCTGTAGAGAAAACGAATAATAAAGAATATTCATGGAGGCTTAAATTTTAGTGAATCACTTGACAATCTAGTAGTCCTTTCTATCAAACGCGACTTCTCGTTTGCCCATCCAGCCACAGTGTACAGAATGCGAATGCATGTTGGCAAGTTCATGAATGGTTAAGAATTGATAAGGACGGAGAAAGACCCAATACCGGCGTAAAACTCAACGAAACAAGCGTACAGTGTAGGTAGAACATCAAATTCACCACTCAGCAATGCAACGATAGGGCACATCTTCTGTAGTTGAAATAGGGAAGCAGCTGAACGACTGCATGTGTTTTGTCTTTAATCGCAGAAACCACTTTGAATTATTGCGTAATCTAAGATGGCATTGTTCAGTTTGTGGAAGTGAAGAGTTGATAAGAATGAAATTTTATCAGAACTGCGCACCTATAGGGGAAATAATGCTGGAAGTGTGTATCTCGTGCGCAAATGAAGCTGACATGTCTCGGGTAATTTAAGTACAAGAAGTAAAGAAATCTGAAGAAACGTATGTTGTGTGTGAAAGCAGCCGCAGTTGCATCTACACACTGATACAGAGAATAAGGTGGGGGAACTAATTCCTGAAATGCGGAAATAGTCACGTTTCGAAATTTACTTGTTCACCAGAGCATCTCTTTTATAATTTCCAATATCCAATATTGATAGTGCGAGCGTAGAAAACTGGTAGTTTTTGATCTCTCGCGTCTAGTCAACATTGTTTCCGTATAACTCTTAGCTTGCAATATTCTTCAAGTAGATGAACCAAAATGACAAGTTTTTAGCTTTCATATATATATTATTAGGCTGGACTCTTTTCGTTTAGGCTTACGGGGAGAAGTGAGGAATTCTACTATCCCAGAGCAACACTTAAACGACTATACTAGTCAACGTTTTCGTCCGGCTAAATAGGGCAGTGTTAGGCCAAACGTAAGGACTGACGCGGGGTTTTGCAACACTTTCCCAAAGTAGGGCCCGGCGTTCCAGACCCTGTGTCGGCATCACGTTTAACACATCCCCCAGATGTCCGACCGCAAGTTCTTACAACAGCCCCAATGTGTGTCCCGACATTTTCTATAATGGCCCTACATCCCAATCTGTTGGCTAGGCTGTTAATCCAATCTAAACGTCGGCCAGACGTTAAGCCTTACGTGCACTACATCTGCCCCCACATCAGATTAGTAGCACAACAGTGGACTCAATGCATTTAAACGCATTTCAAAAGCCAGACTTCAAGTGAAGCAATGCAGAAACTGCGTGTTTTCCGATTTTCTTGGTGTATTTTAACCGAATGTTTCCCTATACGATACCGACGAAAATTTTATCCGCTCAAAAGTAATATTAGTTCATGGTCACTGGAAGACTGCCTTAAATAAGCCACTCTTCAGTCTCATGGGTCCGTATTACTGAATGCGTCAAAAAATAACCCACAGGTATTGAACCACCTAAACATTTATGAGAATATATATATATATATACTGCTGTTATTAAAGCAATTTCACCTACAGTGTCAAACAACAGTCTTAGGAGGACTGTTGGTGACCTACGAAGCAGAGATTTCCCCAAGACTTCAAGGACGAATCCAACAGCAACATTCAATGTCCAATGTCCAATATCTTTTCAACGGGCTTGTGTAAACCAATTGATTTCTTCGCGCTCGCTTCTTGGTCTTGAGGAACGGCTCCAGATCTTTTGGCGGATTCCGATGCAGCAGATCCAGCCACTCGTCTGCTATAGCTCTGATTTACAGTACAGGAAGTTAAGTATTGGTTTGTTTGCCTTGAACTGTGGTGCAGTTGGCTTCTTCAGATGTCGAGTTGCAAGACAGTTTTCAGGACTGGTCACTACAGAGGGTTGCGGATAGTGAAGAGAAGACCTAGAAAGCGTTTGTGTGAGTAAAATAAGAAAGGAAAAGTGAACTAATGGAGTAATCTACTTACACCCAAGTAAGGTGAGTAGGGGTGCAAAGGTATGAAGAACTTAGGTAAGTGAGGCTAACTTATGGCAGGCGGAAGGGGTGAAAACGGCTCAAATGGTTATAATAGAAAGAAAAATGGTTGGGGTAGCTTGACGTTACTTCGTGATCCAGCTATGCGTGGGTAGACCGTGAGTCTCTGCATGACTGTCTAGCCTCTTCTTGAAGCTTTCAACAGTCGGGGAGGAGACCACCCCTGCTGGTAGTGCGTTCCAGTACCCACAGACTCGGAGGGAGAAGAACTGTGGACGCACATGCGTTTTTGACCTCTGGTGTTCTATTCTATTGGGGTTTCTTCGAGGATCTCCGTAGTGGCCACTCGGTGGGACTCCTTTGTTTGGGTGACTTGGGTTACTCATTATTTTGTAAGCCATTATTAAGTCGCCACGTATCCTTCGGTAGCTAAGGGAGTATATCAATATTGCCAGTACAAGAAACTTGTAGCTTTTGACCTGTCACTTCTAGGTCTTGAGGCTTGCCTCTTTTTTGTTCGGTTGTACTCATTCGATGGTTGCAGGAGTCTACGTTTTCCTGCTTATAACGGCACGAAAGTTTATGGGTTTGTGGGGAAGGGGTCATAGGGACAGCTTTTGTTTAAGTTTGAGAGCGTAAAGTCAGAAGGAAGAAGAACAAATAATATGATAGGACGAGTGGGAATACAGTAATTCTTTTAGCATGAGATGGTAACTGGAGGGGACGTCTATAGAAAGGTGTAAGGTTCAGCCAAGTTCCCGTGATAGTAGTTCACAAAGTATCCCGTAAGGGTTGGCCGTGCTCAGTTAGTAAGTCGTGTCAGCCTAATCCACATCCCAGTTGGATGAGCGCAAACCGTGCATCGCTGCGTTATTGTCCAACCCCTCCTTGAAGCTGTCAACAGACGAGGCAGTAGCAATCTCGGCGGGCAATGTGTTCCAGTGGCCGCAAACTCGCAGAGAGAAGTGTGATCGCACACGGGTTCTCGCTCTTCAGTGAGCGATCCTCCTTGGGTTACCTGAGGGTTGCCACAGTGGCCGTTCGGTAGGATTCCACTGTTCGGATGACTTGGGTTACTGAGTATTTGTAAGCCCTTATCAAGTCACCACGTAATCTGTGGTAGCTTAGGGAGAAGAGCCCTAGATCTTTCGGCCTGTCCTGATATGGTTTTCGCCTCATTCCCATGACACCATTTGTAGCTCGCCTTCGGACTTTCTGCAGAAGGTTCACGTCTCTTTTCAGACATGGTGGTGCAATGACATTGTATACCTCTAGGCGGGGTCGTATATGGGTCTTATGTAGCTTCGAAAAGAGTCCCGGGGTCATGGCACCCAGTTGTCTGCGCATGAAGTGCAGTACTGAGTAGGCTCTGGAGGCATCTCCTGAATAATTGGAGCTGTTCTCTAGCTTGTCATTCGGTGTTAGTCCTAGGTCTTTCTCCGTGGTGGTGTGAGAAAGTTGTGTTTCACAGATAGAATTGGGTACCTTCTGATAGTCTAGGGTGCGGAGAAACATGGCTCGGCACTTATCTAGGTTAAATGCAAGTCTATTATTATCCACCCACTCTGCAAGTAATCTGAGATCACTTTGCAGAGCACTTGATTCTGTTTCTGACGTCACAGCTCTCCATAGCTTAACATCATCAGCGTAAAGTAGAATTGGGGAGCTGAGATTCAGTGGGAGGTCATTCACAAAAAGAAGGAATAGCAGAGGACCCCAGAATCGCCCCTTGTGATACACCAGATGATGATGTCCTCCAAGTTGAGCAGGCTGTGTTGGCTTTCGTGCAGAATTGTCTACTGTCCAGATAGTTCTGTAACAGTGAAAGCGCCTGTCCCTTGATGCCCAACCTTGCCATTTTGTGAATAGGAATGGTATGTGGGACTGTGTCAAATGCCTTGGCAAAACCCAGGAAAATAACACAGACCGGAACTTGGAGGTCCCGTCCACTTATCATCTGCGGCCAGAATGTTTGTGGCACAGGACCCACCCTTTCTGAAACCATGTTCAGCGCCGCCAGGTGCTCCCCTCTTCTCTAAGTGCTCCCTGACAGGGTTGTCTGCCAGGCTCTCCATTACTTTTGACACCGCTGGTAGAAGGGATATGGGTCGGTAGCGTTTTAGGTTCTGCCTGTCTCCTCCTTTGAAGATGTAGGACAGAATACCACTTTTCCACTCTTTTGGAAGCATGTGATTGTCTACGAAGTGTTGAAACAGATTACACAGCGGACAGCACAAGACACCTGCGCATTGTTTCAACACAGCCGGTCGGATGTCATCACACCCTGGTGACTTCCCTGCTCAGAGCTTTGATAGCTTTTCGAGGACCATTGCAGGGGTTACCTATATTCCAGGTAACTCTACTGCATTTGGTGGTGCTGAATGTCGGCCGAACAGTTGGCGATTTTCGTTAGATAGAGACGTATTCAGTTGCGTATCGAAGGTGGCGCTAATGGCTTGAGTGATCTCTGGTCCAGAGAGGTTCCCTCCATCTAGGCCTTTCAGGATGCCAGCCCCCTTGCTGGTGGATTTTCTACCTACTATAAATCGATATAGGTTCTTGGAGTTCTCTTCGAGCTTCTGGGTAAGGTTCATCCGGAATGACCTCCTGTCTCCCCTCACTCCAATGTTACATCGATTTCTTGGGGCAATATGTGCGGTGTGGTCAGACTTTTCTGGAGGTCCTCCACCTGTGCCATGTTTTCCTCTTGGCTTTCAAAAGGCGTCCAGTGTCTTGCTTCGGCCATGAGGTTCGCTTCCGCGGTACTGCTGTGATTATAGGGACGTTTTCAGAGATACCTCTGTTGGTGATATCTACGACTGGTTCCCAGCGTTGATCAGTTGACTGTTTGCTCCACTCCTCAGACAGCGGTGCTGTCGACAGATATTGGTTCATCGACAAATAGTTCGCCTTGCTATAGCAAAGACAAGGGCGAGGTCCGCCCCATAACGGTTGTTCGCTGAGTACAAGATCGAACACTACCACGCCATGATAGCTGCTGCCGAGGGGGTTTGAACCTGTGCATTTTCTGCCAGCAGCTGGTCACTGGTAAAAAGGTAGTCCAGCTTGGACGGCTTTCCGTCCGAACCCCAGCAAGTGTCATCAATATTCTCGTGCAGTCCAGCTTCTTTGACAGCGCTGAGTGGGTTTTAGTCGAACCTTCGGCTTGAGGTTCCCCTGTTCTGCCCAAGATTGAGAGTCGGAGCACTAAAGTCCCCGGCTATAATGACCTGATCATATCAGATGGACGTCGCCCGGACATTACTTGCAACAGTCGTTGGTTATGTTCCACGCTGCTAGTAGGAGTTCTGTAGACGCCTCCCACCAAGCACTTGGTGTGTCCAACCTTAGAGTGACACCAGATGGAGTCTGGGAGCCCTGAAACTAGTCTCGGTTGCTCGTTTAATTTTAGGGTCACCACTTATAAGCATCGCCACTCCCCCTCCTACTTTAAACTCCCTGTCCGTCCTGAACGGACGCAAACCATCTATACTGGTTTCGATGCCACTAATATTCGGTGGTAACCAAGTTTCCGTTAGGATTATGATCGCTGGAGCAAGGCAGGAACAGAGAAATCACAATTCTCCCATCTTACTCCCAAGCCCCTTCACGTTGCTGTAAAGACACCTGGATACGCTTCCAACGGCATGGGGTATCTTATGGCTGGGAGACTGAAGGGAGTCGTGTGTAAAAGCGAAACTTGCTATAGGACGGCCAGCCCCAGTGGAACCGGTCAAATCACGTTTTTTCCCACAATGGTTTCTGAGGGTTTCGTAGAGTCTGGGCTTGTTTGTACATCTTGTCTGTTGGCAGTGGTGGTGACGTCAGCACTGGGTGGAGCTGTCACTTGCTGCTGTCGCAGTGTCCTGGGCCTGCTTTCATAACAGCAAACGTTCCTAATGATGTTGTCTTTTACTGTGTACCAAGTTCGCAGTACTTTCGTCAAAAGGTCTTGACAGCCGAAGGTAACAGCTGTCAACCAGGGTGACGTTATCGTCGTCAAATGCGAGGGACATGGCAGTCTGCAGACCCCAGCAGCCGCTATCCCATTTAACCATATCCTTGCTGATAACCACTACCGTTGCTGGACGCCATGAGCATGCATTTCTACCACCGTGCCGGCTGTTAGTTCCGGTATGTCGTGGACAACCATAGTTGTTGGTTTCAGCGTTTGGGGTGCCCGGTGAGATACTTTCCTTGCTGACCAAGGGCGGTCTGGTCTGGTCCTAATGCTGGATGACCTGTTGATGACTAGTGTGTGACAGCAGCAAGAACCTTTCCTCCCCCTTGACCGAGCCCAGGGTTACTCTCACTGGCGGGGGCTTTCCCTGAGGTGAGTAGTTGCCCTTGTAGAGCCTGCACGGCTTTGCTTCTAGGCTACCCAGTCCTCTTGTGGTGCATACGGTTTCCCATCGCCGTTTGTCAAAAGATTCTCCGTTCTAAAGGAGACTGTCATAGCACATGGGGACGTTAAATAGGAGGATGGAGTTCAGTCTGTCATCAACACCCCTGTTTTCGTGTACAGTGCGTGGTTTTTTATGGTAAGGCTGCACGTTTTTTCCGCTTTTACCCATTTTTCCCCATGTACCGTGGGAGTAGCCGTTAAAGTGACTTCAGGGT